TATTACTTTTATATAATTATAATTATATAATTATATTAGGTGTTGGAATTAATTCGTAGCGTTTTACAAGTGATAGGAAGTACTTTCATTAATATATTTTTTAATGCTCATGTGAAATAAATAACATTCTTTTATTAAAAACGCTACGAATTAATTCCAACACCTAATATATTAGTACATAATTATTATATTCTGTATATAAATGTATAAAATTGAATGTAAAAAACAGGATTATAAATAAATTACTATAAATTATTATATTCTTTACACATATAGTTACATAAATTCTTTATCAATTTATATGTAATCCTATATATATTTTTTATTCCCTTTCCTGAAGTTTTAAAATAATATAAAAATAAAGTCTGATGTCAACAACCTATTAGATAATTTGTTGTATCAATGACAGTAGATAATAAAATTAATAGTTTTCTATTAAAATAATACTATAACACTTTACAAATAATATTATTGCAATTATTTATTTAATTATTAAAGGTAATTGTCATTAAAATAAAATGCAAAAAAAATGGAATACTTATAATTTATCAAATCATAAAATTTACAATAACATGATTCTTATTTACTGCATTTTAATATTTTCTTCTTCCTTATTTAGTTATATTCTTTATTTTAAGAATAATCGGCATTTAACGATATTATTTAGCAATAAAACTTGAGAACAAGGGAAAAATTTTCATTTGCAGAATGAAATTCGAGTTTATTACTTCAATATTATTATCGTTTTATTGTCACTTCGATTATCCATTATTGTCTAGACAAACACATAGTACTTTAAGTCGTAAAGTTAAAGAGAACTCGACAGAGACTTATATGTCATCCACAGCAATGATAGACCGATGATGCCGCGACATCGAGCGTATTTCGATTGATACGTGTAATACCACATACATGTTACACAACGACATTTCTAACAATATTTAAATGAGATACAATGTGGAGATTAGGATGAAACTGAATTCGCGTTATCGCCATGGAGCTCGCAAGCTCTCTGAGCACTAATTTGGCATTTACATCATACATGTTACTACGCTCACGGAGATTATTTCCTGGCTTCGTCGATCTTGCATGCGTATATCGCGAACGATCGAAAGTTTCACGGCTCTAATCATAGGACTTCGAGAAAATAACGAAAGTAACAAGACAAATATTCATAGATGAGGAACGAGGATGGCACCGCAAAGTGGTGCTATATATTTTAGTTCGTTACATGAAAAATGCCTGTCACTTTTCTTGTTTTCCTGTTAAAATCTTTGAACGCTTCTGCGAGTGCAACGTTCTTAATTAAATTTATCATGAAAAAGACATTCATATAATAATGCCATTTGTAAAAATGGAAATTGTTAATTCAGATATATATAGATTGTAAGTTTTATGATCTAATTCTATAAAAGACAAAAGATAAAAGAGAAGCATGTAATTAACTTCATATTTTTCATAAATTTTTTTCCAAATTTTAAAATTGTATGAAAAGAATTGGAAATTGCTTTATTACGTCAATGAAGCAACATATATATACTTGATATGCTTTAAGCGAATACGTTTTTCAAGCAATTAACAAATGTAATGAATATCTATATATTCGTTGCATCTGACTCTTAACATCACAACTATCTAAAATCACATGACGAGGAAAAATACTAATCATAATAACATGGTGAGAAATATCTGGGGAATGACGAACAATCTTTTTCGATTTAGCTAATGATCATCGATATTATATCGTATTTCGTAATTGTAACTTACTCTTTTTGCGAGTAACATATTTTTTTAATACTTCGACGATAATTTATGTTTTCACCAAGTAATAGTCACCAAATTGACATATGCAAATTTTTTATCCTTTTTTTATGATCTTACATTTCGTCACGGCCACCGTGTAAAATATTTCGATCTCGCAATGATTTATCGGTGAAGTCCGAGCTAAATAATAATCATCAAAGTAACATATAGCCTCTCCCACGACTACACTCGTTTAAATAGGAAATTGGTCAAGGAATAAAATATTTCGACCTCGCGATGATTTATTAAACTAACGGTTAAATTGGTCTTTCGTTCCCTCTTCATTCATTTACACACACACACACACACACACCGTCGCAAACGACGTAACGAGAAAAGAAAGAATCGCGAGGTATTGCTCAATGAACATCACCAAAAGTTTATTAATGATACTGATATTAAATGGCGTTAATGATTAGAGACCAATGCCAAATCGCAAACCTGAACGATCGTTATTATATTATTGTTTCGTTCGATCAAGGATATTTCTCGCCTTGCTTCGGAAAATACACGAATTACAAAAACTGGCAGATATGTCTGCTATACATCAATTGGAAGGAGGCATCGAGATACAAATATTAAGAGAAACATACGTGCTTACAGAAATTTGTAAATTTAGAGATTATCGATGACAAAGTCCTTTACATAACATCCAGAAACTTGTAACTGCGGAGGAAAATCTATTTATTTTTGAGCGAGAAAAATTTGCTTCTTTTCCAGATATACGCTTTTCGCATAACGATTTAAAATCTGTTCGAAACAGACGGCACATTTAAGGCGTCAATCATTAGGATTACGTGAAATTATTATTGTCGGCGAGCAGTAAGCTTATTGTCCATCGACGGATCTTGCGATCAATTCTTCTCAATGAATCTGTGAAATTAGTCGCTAATTAAATTGTGTGACGGACTTCCCCACTTCTATTACCGTTTCTAATTTTGATCAACTTTTTTCTCTTTTTTTTTTAGCATTTTTTTGTGTGATATTATTATTTTTATAATTCGCTGGTAGATCATTACTTAAAAGATCATTAATGGTCGAGACATATATATTCGTAGATATCTACCGTTGACAAGGGATAATCAGTAGCCAATAAGGAAGAACGTCAGACACAAGATCCGAATATTTACATCCGTTTCCTCTCACTCCCCTTACGGATCGCTGAGTAAAACGTGTGAGTCCAATATATGACATAATTTGTACGGTATCGTCGCTCTGGACGAACAGAGAGGCGAGGCGAGGCGAGGGTTTTTACATGGAATTGGACACGATGCGAGAGTTCGACGTCCGCAGGAAGTTATCGATGTCCGGTAACAGGAACCTCTTGAAGCCATGTCGACAATCTCCGTGCAGGCGGTGCAGGGACTGCAGGTAGCGGGTTTTCGGGATGAACGGTCTTAGCGACCGAGTCTTAGCTGACGCGAGGGGGGTGTAGTTGGACGAGGTCCCATCTGCGGGATCCTCCCTGAAATTCATTTGCACCCTCGTTATGTTTTGCAGAATGCCGCTCGTTTGACAACCATATACAATTGCATCAATTCTAAACATGTAACTAATCGATAGCACGCGCTATTGACAGCGTCAACGCGAACATTTATTTGATGAAAACGATGGCAGAAAATTTGATAAAAACGAAAATTCATTCATGCACCAGCTGTTGATTATTTATAAAAATTTCAAATTTTTTTCTATAAAATCCTTTACTTTATAGAAAAAAAATTGATTAATATAGAGAAGAATACAATATATATATATGTGTACAATATAAACATTTATGTTATTAAAATAATTATCGACGTTTTTTCCAATATGACCAATTCGATGATTCCAGAAAGACTCCGATAGCGCAGAAACGTTCAACATATTGAACATCTAACACCAATGTAATGTACACCAATGTAATATACACAAGTATTTTAGCAATAGTTTTTTAATCCTATCAATTACACGAGTTACCATTTTACTGAAAACTCACATAATGTCGCGCAAACCATTAAAATAAAAATGAAACAATATAAAAATCATTCCGATATAACACTGCATTTTTTAACATAATCTAGAAAAGTGCCGCTTCACGGTACTCATGGTTCCCAACAATTAAGTTCAATAATAATTCAAAGGCTGTAAATATAGAGACTGAAATTTTAAATAAATCACACTCTTCATTGTTCGTGATTTTTCGAATAATTGAATAATTAAACGTATTTTAACATTTTTAATAATTAAATATATTTTTAAAAGAATAAAAATTAATTAATGTTGGGAACCATTCGATAAGAAACATTAAGAATTACTAACTAGAATTACTAACACCGAATAAACGTGACAAACTATAACACCGATTCTACGCCGTCTAATCGTCTAACATCGATCAACTACCAGCGTTCTAATGATCTAATATGTAGTCTCTAACAGCGAGACGTTGTACTACATCGAAACATTGTACACCCAACTACCGTGATGAGTCCCGAGATGATATCGTGGTAGTAGAAGAAGAAGACACAATTGGAGAACGTTTTATTTTGTACGTGGTGATTTGTAGGTGGTTGTTGGTATTTGGTGGGTAATCATTGACGTGACGTGACATGACGTGGCTGTTAAATCTGTTGGTACTGGCACACACATAAATATGACATATTTTCTCAATCTGTAGGTAGAGTTCTACTTGAGTACAGGTACTGGCAAAACGGTTGACATATCACACCGAGGTAGGAGAAGAGGGCACGGCGAAGGATAGAGAGATAGAGAGACAGAGAGCGGCTGCCTAATGGCCTGACCTTTCGACCAGATATCGCGGTGACCGAGAGAATCGTGATGCACGGAACGACGGGAGCCAGCCGAGGCGTGCGAGGGCTCCGATATGTCTCTTACTTGGTTGCAATACTTCAGTGTAGCCCGAGTCGGCCGGCATCTCCGGCGAGGAACCTGTTCTCGACAGAGTTTATGGTTGACAACAGACGATGTCGATTTGTTCGATGCCATTTTTTTCCTATTACGCTATTGTGGAATTTTGAAGGTGAATGAGCAACGATGCATCATGGATGCGTACAAGAGAAAAAAAATTTATTGAATTGTGATCCCGCGATTAATGCGGATTCTTCTAGCTGACGGATCAATCGGCGAGTTTAAATATTGATCAACAAAAAGAAAGAAAATACGATTTGAATTTTACTCACGTAAAACGGAAGCGCGATAAATTCGCAATAGTGCTGTGACATTTGATAGCCTTCGTTCGCGTTATAAATGTAAAATCGGGTTTAAGGTTAATAAGGAATTGTTATCAATTAATAACGCTTGAAATGTCGCATGTCACGCATAGTATAAATGTAAAATAAATTCTGTAGGAGTTTATTTTACATTTATCTCTCGTGAAGATCAATCCTTAGATGAATACCAACCAAAATATCGGATGTTCCAATTTTACTCACCTAGGAACCTCTTCTCCGTGTTCGGATAATGATCGGCGAGTGCCTCGATCATGTCCTCATAATCGAGTATGTTAGTATTCTGCACGACAGGCAGCGGATACTCATCGGAAAAGTCGATCTGTCGTTTGTGCCTCGTTTGTGAAGTCGCTGCGTCCATCCTTCTATTTGATCTGTTCTTCGCTCTGCTGTCGTCTAGCTCCTCCGAGATGCTGAAGAGTGTGGGCCAGTTGCCGGCAACGTTCTCTTTAGCATCGTTTCCGTTGTTGTGATCTTGTTTGATAAGCTGCTGGAGGTCCAAGGGCTCACTGGGTGCCTCGTGATCGTTCAAGGATCTCCCGTGACGGTTGAGCACCCGGGCGATCATCCTACCTACACCCGCGGTGCCGCCTCGTTTCATGAAACCAGGCCAGTCGGCGTTTCTGGCCAATGATGCAATGTTGCGCTTGCCCTCGTCGTATCCACGGACCGGATAACCGCCGTTTCGAACCAACGAACCGAGATATCGCTTACCGTAGGGCAGAGAAGAATCTCTGGCTAGCGCGGCGACGTTTCTCTTACCATTCTGCGGCAGCATGGAGTCTCTCGCCAGAGAAGCGACGTTTCTTTTACCGCTCATAGGCAGCATGCTTTGCCTGGCCAGGGAACCGATGTTTCTCTTGCCGCTCATCGTATTGTAATCTCGAAGCACCGAGCCGATGTGACGTCTACCCGTGGGTAATGCGAAGTCCCGCGCCAAGGCGCCGACGTTACGTTTGTCTAACGGATACTCGATCAATTCTGGGTCCAGTTTAACTTGGTAATCGTAGATTCCGGATGTACGTCGACGATACTCGTCGCCCATCAACGCGCGCACCAGCTCATCTAGATTATCGCTTAATTCGACAAATTAATTAATGCAAGTAACTGAATAAATATGACATGGTGAGGGGAAAAGGGGTAATATTTTTAATAATAAAATTAATATGAGATTATTATAAAGTTATTAAATAGTATTTATTCAACAAGAGTCAAAAGATCATTAAAATGCAATACGATTTCTAATCCTTTTATTTTTATTGTGGCATATCTTTTTTTGTACGGAAATTTTTAATATTTTCTGTTCAAAATTATTAAGAGGATATATTTTCAGGGGAATCAGAAAAATCTCTAATATACCTAGATATATTGATACTCCTCTTTTCCTCGTCATCACCATCGTCCTCGCGCTCCTGTACGATAAATGGTAGATCATCGTTTTTGGCCAAGGTAGCAAGACTGCGTTTTTCCGATTCGGGAATCAAATCCCGCGTTACGAGATGTCCACGAATCGTAAGATCCCTGAGGAGCTCCAGATAAATATCACTAGGTATACAGATTTCAGCGTCATCATTCTCCTCGGAACTAAGAGCTTTCAGATGAGCCATGTCGTTATGATTCTTCGCCTCTTGAATTATCCTCGAATACGCTGCCAGATTCGAACTTACTTCCGGTAAACGCAACAACGTCAGGAAGATCTTCTTTGGTATGCATTGGCTGCCTTCTTCGTCTTGACATGTCACCTGGAGCAAATGTGATCAGTTACGGATCAATAGGTCCTCTTCGCATCTTACTTTTTGCACAAAAGAATTTAGCACTTTATTCATACTCTTCAATATTCTTTTATTATCTTATGTACGTCGATGTACATATACAATTATACACATTGCACTTAGAGAAAAATATAGAAATATTTATATATATATATATAAATAAAAACTCTAAAATAGTTTATTTAATTGTGACATTAATTCTAAATATCTAAATTCTTTAGAATAAAATTTCACTGTTAAAGAGTGATAGAATTTTCACTTTTCAGAATAAGATTTAAAGAGATAAAACTTTTGTATAATTGTCATCTATATATAATTGTTATCGCTGTGTTTTTTCTTTGAGTATTCATTTAATTATTATGTAATAATCACCATTGATACAGAAATAAATTATACGATATTGATACATAAAATATTATCGGCGTTACACGCTATATAATTACATTCCAATAAACTCCAATAATAAAAATAATGCAAGAAGCACGCGGAAATTGAAATATCTGATAAACCAGAACATTCGTCTTTGGTATTGTTGAATTTGTCGATTTATCTTCATTATGCAATTTTATTAAATTCTCTATGGATATGTATATATGCTTTCAATACGACGAAATCTAATATCACACATGAATGTGCTTCGCAAATATATGTCAATATATGTTTAGTTGAATTTCACCAACTAAACTGTCTAAAAAGAAGACAATAAAATGCAGGAAGTGTCAATATTCTTTCATATTTTATTTGACAGCGATAGATTTCTAGGTGATTTGTCGTCTCGCTGACAGAACGATATCGTTTTCGTATTATCCTTCAACTGCTGCGTATTTGGACAAACGGAGTTGACTTATGACGTCATTTAGGTTTATTTTAACAGATAGCTCTCTCGTTTGAAAAAACAGTAACTTAAAAATTATTTTCTCTGCCTTTGCTGGTTAACACGTACATAAAGTTCTTGAAACACTAGATTAGTTTGTATATGTATCTATATACACACACACACACATATTATATATATATATATATATATATACATTTATATATATAAATACACAAATTAATGCTAGAATTTCAAAGTCACGTTGTTATGTAATAATACAAATATATTATAAAATGCATACTGTTTAATTTTTTTTCTAGTAAATTTTATTATTATGAATTATATTTTTATTATTATCATTTAATGTGAAAAATTAAAACATGTTTATATTATGGAAAAATAATTACCAAATTAGTAGAGTAAATCACGGGTGAAGTTTATAAAAGCAAACCGATAACACAAAGCTCATAGAATTTATTATGAGAAATAAAATACCAGCATGATCTGCTCGATGTTTCCGGCATTCCACTTCATTTCAATCCCCCATTATTTCCACAATGCTCAAGGTAACTGAGCATTTATATAATCCCATTAAATCCCATTTTAATCGATTGTCATGAATCCGAGTCACGTGCACGTGGCTCGTGCAAGGCGGTCGTCACGTTTTGACACTAATTTTTCAGGAAGAACATGACGACACCGGCAGCAATACTGACTATGCGTCCACGTGGATTTATGAAAATTCGACGAGATACGAGATACGCGAGAATTAATCTGATGCATAACATGCGAAATATGTGCCAGCTGCGCTATAATTAAATGATCACCCCTATGTCAGGAATGAATTAAATCGTGGCCGCGACACGTCGTTTATGATCACGGATATTACACTGTAGTTTACGGGAAATACGCGGAGCGAAAATGGTAATGAAGGGAATATAGCACATTTGCGAAGTGCTGAAAGCACGTAGCGTTTGACGTCTACCGTTGGAACTTTGTGCGGTATCAATCGCTATCAGCGTTTGTGTAGGCTTTGCAACGGCAATAAATTTTTTATTGCATTCTATAAAATTCGTATCTTTCAACACAGGCGGCGATATATACAGATTTAAGAATAATGTATATTTGCGTTTTTATAGAAGAATTTATATTCAACATATTTCAATATATTTGCGTCTTTTATAAAAAAATTTAAACTTTATAAGTAATATTCCAGAGTATCTTTACGTTATTCTACAATGAAAAAAATACAAGAAATTGGCATACAAAATATAATATTATCATTTAATTATTCAATTTTCAGACTTTGGTGATCGTTAATAAATTTTTTTTATATCAACTTTATACCAAATTAAAAGTAAATATATATCTTATAATATATAAACTAAATGACATTTTATGTTTTACCCTGTTTAATTACGATGAATTAATTTACTTATCAGACTAATTTCGTTAAAATTTAATTTACATGATGTTCTGTTTAGCGTCGACTTATTTTACCTTCAAATTTATGCCAATGGAACTGGCTCAAAGTACCTTCGCAATATTGTTCTGCTTCGCGTAAATTGTGGAATGGTTTGCAAATTTCGGTCAGATGTCGTTGATATTAACTGTGATCGTATTTCGTGAGCGTTTGGTAATATCCTTTGAACATGACACCGTAAGCGAACGCGCATTTGAACATGCTTTTATACCGTCAAAATGTGATATCTAACATTGCGGTAAAGAAATCATATTTGATAGCGTGCGCATTATTAAAAGAATTTAAAAAATGATAACAAATATTAAAGAAACCAAACATGTTTCAATAAAAATAGTTTATATGACAAAACTGATAAAATTGTCAAGACTCGACATCTGGAAGTTATTGACGTTGAAACTGATACAAATAGGATACGAGCGTAAACAATGATTTTAGTACAATATATCAGGAAATATTTGTCACCGTCCGGTAACGTAATTAACGTTATTACGGTGGTAGATTAGTGACGCTTCAAATCCAATTTCGGTGATGCGCTTGACGTCAAGCTCTGCATATGATAGCTACAATTACAACACACGTCTGCGGCCAAAGGACCATGTGACACCTGTAGTTTACATTTTACTGCGCTGAATTTAAACAAATTTCAATATTCATAAAAATTGAAACAATTTTTTTGTGCTGCGTGATGCTCTCTTATTCGAAACTTTTAAAATAAAAAATCAAATTATTGAAATTACTGGACAAAATAAATTTTAAAAAAATCTCTCCATAATAATAGGTTCAAGTATCAAATAAATTTCGGAATATCAGATAAACTTTATAATGTTTAAAATGTTTGCATAATTTGATCAAGCTAGGCAATAACTTACTGCGCCGTTAAAGAAGTTTGCACATAAATTTGTCAGAGATAAAGAGAATTTTTTACGCTCGAGAAAAGATCTATAAAGTTTGTTACAGAAATCATTAACAGATAAAAAATCCATTCGATTTTAAGAAGATATAAGAATTTCAATATTCCTTGCACACGTTTATGTGGAACATCACGCAACATCTGCTGCGTTTCATATTGTACAATCTTGCTTCTGCATAAGATAACTGTCCCAATTACTGTGTCCCTTAGTGTGCTTTTGTATTTCGATCATAATATGTATTTAAATTATAAAGAAAACTAGAACGAATAAATAAGAAAAAATATTTTTTTTTATTAAGTTAAATTATTAATACGAAGATGATATTTTATTTTTTGAATATTAAAGAATTTTAAATATTTTTCAAAAGATATGAGGAATTTGTGTAAATCCAGTAATACGTACTGTAAGATTTTAAACTTGTCGTTATTAATGTGCCCTGTATTGGAGCTGAGAACGTTGTGTTATGAGTGTACATTAAAATAAATATTTGAATAATTGAAATAATGATTTAAGTAATATATTAACTCTTAAACTTTACCTGTTGTAGTATATGTTAAAATGAGTTAAATGTGGATAGGCGCACAAATTGGGGGCACATTAATAAGACTATCGCCATTTGGAGGACTTACTAATAGGAACAAAAACATATTTTTTATTTTTCAACGTCAAAAACGTTATAAAGTATTAATATTTTTTAGATTAAAGAAATATTATGAGAAAAAGAAATAGTTGGAAATACTGATTGCAAGCAGATAAAATTAAAGCTACAATATTTAATAATTAATTCAGGAATAAGTAATTTGCCTAAAAGGGCACATTAATAGGGACAGTTACCCTATGAGAAATGTACGCAAATTTGCGTAGCAGAAACACACGCACATTTGCGGAAATTTGACTGCGCAGCTATAGTAATTTAATCTCGTTTATTCACCCGTTATTCACATCCTCTGACAAAATCCTCTCCAATAAAATTTTTAATATAACTTTTATATAATCTCGTTTCCGATAATAAAATATATAACTAAAATATACATTATCACAATTTACATTATCTAATCGAACAAGCTTCATTTATGCGAATTACCGAAGTTTATAATATAATTTTTGTAAATCTCTCGCAAATCATTGTATTTAACAAGTGATACGAAAATTCCATCTTGCAACGTTAATGAAGTAAATGTTTAATTATTGGCTCACTTCCGGAGACTGTTGCTTTGCGAAAGGTCAGAGGATAATTCTTGTACGCGGGAAGTGTTACCAGTGATCACAGCCATGTTTCATTAAACCCCCTCTTTGAGGCATGTTAAATCGTAGTCCTTGGCTAGTAGAACTAAATTGAATCCCTAGGAAACTACCGTGAGTTATCTTGTAATGAAAATCCACCAATTACATCACATATACCAAATACCAAGTATTAATTCCTTCAATGAATAATAAATCCGAAATTCTACTTTTGTTCTTGCAAAATTAGTAACAAAATGAAGTCGGATCCGAATTGACAATTGAATTAAAAATTGAAATAGTTGAATTAACGTACATTTTTTTATAAAATATGCGAAGCAGCTTATTATTTAACTACGAATAAACACACGCACAAATCCTCAAAAAATTATATATCAACGGAATTTGTCACAATTTCAAATGACATAGTATTACATGTACGGACCATTTATCCGAAACATTATTTTAAATTACAAGCATTAATTTTAATTTTACTTCTCTGGAAAATGTTATTTATATAGTTAAAAATTAATACAAA